GGATGCAGGGGAGCCAACAGTGAATCAGAAATGGTCCCTGCCCTCAGAAACTTATAGCGTGAGAGTTTGGGATGGAGACTGCTATGTGGGAAGAACTAGAGCTGGGGGCAGCGAACCCAGCACGGAGCAGTGAAAGCTTCCTCAGGGAGGTGAGGCCTGAGCTGCATTTTGAAGGAAGAAGAGTTAGTCATCTATTACTGCGTTACAAATTACCCAAAACCTAACAGCTTAAAACAACAAACATTTATTATCTCAGCTTCTATGGCTCATCAATTCAAGTACAGCTTAGCTGGGTGGTTGTGAGTAGTTGTGGCGACTTGCTGGGAGTCTCACATGAGGCTCAATCCCAATGTCAATCCAGGCTACAGTCATCTGAAGATTTGGCTGGGACTGTAAGGTCCCCTTCCCAGATCGCTCATTCACATGGCTGCTGGCAGGAGGCCTTGGTTCCTCCACATGTGGGTCTCTCCAGAGGGCAGCTAAGTTTCCCTGCGACATGGCAGCTGACTTCCCACAGAAGTGGGAATGGGAATGTGGTGCCACAGAAGAATAAGGAGGAAGCCACAGCGCTTTTTAAGATCTAGTCCGGGAAGTCACACCCTATTGCTTCCACTATATTCTATTCTATTCATTAGAGGAAAGTCACCAAGTCCAGCCCATACTCAGGGGAGGAGAATTAAGCTCTATGAGCTCTACCTCTTAAAGGGAGGAGTGTCAAAGAATTCGTGGGTATACAAGACTACACTAATGATAACAGTAATAATCCTCTTGAATACTCACTATATGCCAAGTACTTTACATTGCATTTATTTAATCTTCATAGCAACTCTCTGAAGTATGTGATAATTATTATGCCCATTTTACAGATGAAGAAACTGAGGTGCAGAGGGATTAAGTGATTTCTCTAAGGTTGCACAGCTAGTAAGTGGTGAAGATAAGATTCAAACTAAGCAACCTGACTCCAATGCTCATGCTCTAAACCACTCCCCAGATTTGCCCATCAGGGGCAGAAGGGAAATGAAACATCCTTCTACAGTTGAGTTCCATACTTCTGCTGTCCAGGAGAGGTTCTATGAAGTTTGCTTTCAGTGGCAGACCTCTCCCTAAAAGGATTGGAGTATAGAGGCAGAGATGGAAAGCCTGCTGAGCCTTATAAAAGCAGTGTGCAGGCCAGGCACAGTGGCTCACGCCTGTAATCCCAGCACTTTGGGAGGCCAGGGCAGGAGAATCATGTGAAGTCAGGAGTTGGAGACCAGCTTGGGCAACATAGCGAGACCACATCTCTACAAAACATTAAAAAAAAATTAACTGCTGGTGGTGGCAGCAACAGCAAGCCTGTAGTCCCATCTACTCAGGAGGCTGAGGCAGGAGGATCACTTGAGCCCCCGAGTTTGAGCTTGCTGTGAGCTAAGCTGACACCATGGCACTCTAGCCCCGGCAACAGAGTGAGACTCTGTCTCACAAAAAAAAGAAAGAAAGAAAGCAGTGGGCCCTAATGTGCCCTAAGGGTCTGGAAAATGTCCCCACCCTCACCTGCCTCCTGGGTGGGGGCCACACTACAATCTAGTCCTGGGGGGACATGCACTGCCCAGTGCATCCACGTGTGCCAACAGCCTTCCCTGTTCCACCCCACCCACGACCCTGCACATCCCTTCAGCGCATCCCCTACTTCCACACCCTTACCCCATGTCCATTTCCCCACCCAGAGCTTCAAGCCTCTCGCGCTAACCCTAGCGTGCCCCTCACGTCCCAGCCCGGCCCAGCCCAACACCCGACACACATGCCCCCTCCGTCCGTGCACGCCCTGCGCCCCCGGCACGCCCCCCCACACCGGGTGTCTGACAGCCGGACAGCGGGATCTGCACAGCAAGTGAAATTCCCGTCGGATCGATAAAGCCGAAGCGCTGGCGGCGACGGGTCGATGGTTTTATCTGTCTCGGCCCCGCCGCGCCCGGCGCGCTGACAGTCGGACCGGCCGGCAAAGGCGTTCAAGGGCAGCCGCGCCCGCCGCCCCCTCCCCTCGCCTCTCCCGCCCTCCCCTCCCTGCGGCCGCTGCGCCCACCGGACTGCAGGCTGGACCGGCCCACCGCCGCCCTCGTGATTTATCTGGATTTTTAATTGGAAAAAATTTGCGAATTAATTGATTTCAGGAACTTGCCAATTAACATTGTAATTGGGTGCGTGATAAATTCCCTAGGAGCGTGTCAGCTCCCTCCGGGCTGACGGCGCGGGAGGGCCCCAGCCTTGGCTGCCCTTGCCCCGCCCCTGCCCGCTCTGGGAAAGGGGAGGAGAGCCGAGGAGGTTGGAAAGATGAGACGCTAGGGCTCTCCCCTCCCCACCATCAGCTCCCTGGGCACAGAGGGGCCTCAGACCAGCCATTTCACAGATGGGGAAACTGAGGCCAGCAGGAGGGCAGAGCCTGTGTGTGCATCTCTTAGAGAGTTCTGGGCAGAGCCCTAATGAGGGCATCCCAGTCCATGGCATGTGGCCCAGGCTTCCTCCAGCTCTCCTGTTCTCCCTGCTCCCTTTTGCTCAGTACTCCTTTCTCCTCTCTGCTCTTCCCCTTCCTCCCCCCTGGGCTCTTTTCTCTCCAGCTCTCCCCTTCCCTCTCCTCCTCTGCCTTTGCCTCCCTCCTGACCCTTCCTCAACCTAGTCAGCTTCTGAGTCTGTGGCTGCTGCCACCTGGGTGCCCTCCATCAACGGGGACATGTCCCTCCCTCCACATGGTTGCTGCCTGAGGAACTCTTTAAGATGAGCCTGGTATTCTGCCTTCTGCCTCCATCTGCCCAATCCATCTGCACAGAGCAGCCCCCCCTGGGGAGCAGGCTGCTATTTCAGATGCACCCAAAGGCTCACAGAGAGAAGCAGGGACCTTCCAGCTCCAAAGCTAGGGCTGGCTGGTTTTCATAGACACAGGCACAAACAGGTGCACACACACACCCATTCCAACACACAGAGATGTGCTCAAACACACTACACCTGAAAGCACCACCTTCCCACATATGTCATTCCCACATGTATATGGGCACACAGACACAGGAAGAGCAGACACAACAACTGTTGGCAAAGCCACTTTTCAAAGCACTTTCCCATTTGAGACCAGAAGCCTTGCCCACACACCCTTCCTCCCCCCATCCTTTATCCTTCCCCTTCTCAGTCCTTCACAGGGGCTCCATTAGACCCCAGGACTTGGCCAGGTAGAACAAAGAGGACAAAGTTAGATCAGGGACAGATTGTGGAGGGCCGTCAATGCTGAAGGGTGTCCTAGAGGAGGTGGGGCAGGTAGAACATCCATGAGCCAGGATAGAGCATGACCAGAGAGATGAGCTTTAGGGGAATGGGTCTGGAGGCCAGTGTGGAGTAGAGCTTGGGGGCAGAAGCAGGGGGACAAGTGAGGAGGTTGGGCTGGGCTAGGGGAAAGATGGTGAGGCTGACCCAGGACAGTGTCAATGGCAGCAGGAATGCACAAAAGGGAATGATGAGAGACCAGGTGCAGGAAGAAACCAGAGTACTTAGCTAGGCTGCTTACCAGGAGGAAGCTTTCTGACCTGGATGATTGGGACAGCTGTGGCAGCAGAGAAGCAAGTGTCTGAGGGAAGGAGGGGACCACAGACGGGGTTCTGGGCAAGCTAAGCCTAAGATGTCTCTGGGATGGTGATGGGGTCGGGACTGGATGTGTGCAGAGACACGCAGGGGCACAGAGAGATGAGGGCTGAAGATTGAAGGGAGACTGGCCCCAGATTTCCCTGTGGCCCTTACGTAGGAGCTTCCACCCAGAGAGATGAAGGAGGCTGGGGCATAGAGAGACGGCACAAAGCTACAAGTGGGGCTTGGCTTGGTGGGGCCTGGGCTCAGAGATCTTCTCTGGGAGTCCAGAGCCACTGTGAGATCTGGCCTCTGGGCTGGGAAGCCAGGTCTCTGGCCAGTGCTTTAAAAGGGCTGAAAGAAGCCAGAGGGAGGCTGGGCTCTTGGAGAAGAGGCGGGGTGTGGAGATGGCAGTGCCCCCACCCCCACTTAAGCCTTATTTAAGGCCTGCCTCGGTGTTTGGTTGGGTAATGAACTAGATAAACAATTCCCCAAATAGATTAAAACGAAGTGTAACTTACAAAGGCGGCTGGTGATGATGGTTTATTCCCGGGCAGCGCACCATTTCTTTATTTCCAAGGATAATTCAGTGTAAATCACCTTAATTAAAAGTGTCAGCCCAGCCCATGAATATTGTACTTAGGAACGCGTTTCCTGGGTCCCAGTTATAATTTAAAACCCATGGATCACTAGGCAGTGAGTGACTGAGCAAGGGAGGAAATCGTTGGGGGTGGGCTGTGGAAACAGGGAGGGACAGGAAGGCACAGCTGATGGGCTGGGCGGGAGCCAGGCTGCCTACAGCTCCTGGGCTCAGACCTCTCTTCTGCAAGGCAGGCCCTGCAGTAGACTCCTCAGTCTCTGGGGAGCCAAGAAAACTTGGAGGTGATCAGGTTGTTGGAGAGAAGGCAGGGAGGGGGCCCTTGCTCAGAGAGGAGAAGGAGTCTTAGGTAGTACTAATCCATTGCAAGGGAAGAGCATTGCTGGGAAAAGATCCGGAGGAGTGGATCGCAAAGTGAGAGGTTGGACATTCTGGCCCTGAATGGTACCCATTTCTGTTCTCCAGCAGAGTAAACTGAAGCCCAGAGTCAGCAGACCCTCCCCAAAGTCACACGGCCAGCAGATAAGAAAAAGAACTAGAGTTCTTCCCTCTATCCTAAGGCCTGAGTATCTTAGCTGCTATGGGATTGGAGCGATAGAGCTGACATGGCAGTGTGGGCAATTAAAAAACATCACTTTTGACTTGGCCAGATACCAACTCAAATCTCAAGCCCTCCACGGACTGTGTGAGAACATAGAAGTGTCATTTGACCTGGCAGTCAACTTTGTAAAGTTTAGAAATAACACATATTAAAGCCTGTACCTATCATATACAGTGGTGCATAGTCAGAGTTCATTCCTTCCTTTTCTGCTCTTACCTGGTCCAACTCAGATAACACTCAAATCCCAGTTGGGGTGGGGTTAAGTGCAGTGGTATACAGTAGATGCCTCACTTCTGTACCTGTAAGTCAGAAAGGTGATGTCAGTATTTGTTTACTGAGTGAACGAAAGAGTGAAGGAATGATAAAAGTCATGAACTCACAAACTAGTTGCTCTTTGAGAGCATCTCCATGCTCTCTCTCTGTCCCCAGTGCCTGGATCAGAACTGGGCACACACCATTTATGAACAAAATATAATTGAACAGAACCTGTTCTGGCTGTGATGCTCCCACTATGTGATCGGACTGGCTGACAGCTCCGTGTTTACACTCAGACCTTGGCCTCACTCTGCTGCTGACCCTGGTAGCCTCTGCACTGTGATGGATGTGTGCTGGTGTACGTGTGTGTGCATAAGTGTCTACATCTGTGGGTACATGTGTGTCTGGGTGTGTGTCAGTACATATAGTGTCTGTATCTATGCACGTGTTTATGTGGACTTGTGTGCGTGCGCAGCTCTCATCCAGCCTGTGTGGCTGTTGTGCATCTGTCTTTAAGGACAGGTCTCTGGGAATATGACTCTGGTCCTGTGCATCTGTATGCATGTCTGAGTCTCCGGGTGTGACTGCATGTGTCTGTGTGCCTGCTGGCAGGATTATAGAGAGTCTATGGATATGCGTGTATCTGCCTTTACACTAGGGTTTCTCAACCTCGGCACTATTGACATTCTGGGTCAGATCGTTCTTTGTTGTGAGGGGCTGTCCAGTACACTGTAGGATGTTTAACATCCTCTACCCACTAGATACCTGTACCAACCTTCCCTTCCCCAACCCAAGTTTTGACAATTAAAAAATGTCTCAGATTGCCAAACATCCCCTGGGCAAGCAAACAGCCAACCCCCTGCGTGATCCCCACTGAGAGCCACTATCTTTATCCGAATCTGCCTGTGCTTTTACTTGCACATGAGGTATCTATCTGGCCTGTGGGTGCCTGTGCACATCTGTGGGTGTTCCCTATGTCTACACTTAGCAAGTCCCTCTGTGCCCCGTGTATTCTGCTTTGGATATATGTGTGTCTCTTATGCATTCTGGATATATCTGTGGGTGTGCTCCACATGTATACCTTGTATGTAGGTCTATGCAGGACCTATGTGAATGGGCTGCATCTGCCTTTGTGCATGTTATCGGCCAGCTGTGCCTGTATCTGTGTGTGTGCACGCACATGAATGTGTGAGCACAGGTGTGGCGAGTGTAGTGGGGGTGGCAGACAGGGAGGGACAGGAACAGGGATATTAATGTTTCTGAAGTGGATCTGATTTGATACGTCTTGTTCCATTGTCAGCATCTGTTTAGCGGGGATTTGTAATACTTTGTGGCTCTGGATCACTCATGCTTAGCGCGGGATGTGGCCTTGCATACCAATTTTGTTATTAAACACAGTTCTCGCCTCCCCCACAGCCCATCCATCACCTCCCGCCCCAGCCCCCGCCTGCTCTGAGCCGCCCACCATATTTCAGGGCCCAGCTCCCGCCCGCCTGCTGCACCCGATGCCGGAGGGCCTGGGGCTGACAAATTGAATCAGGGGGAGATCATTCCTGGCCTAACACAGTTTGCAGCATGTTGGAGGGAGAATTGACAAGAGCCATGTCAGCTCCATCACCCCAATCCCATAGCAGCTAAGAGCAGGCTGGGGACAAGGGGTGGGGAGAAGGGGCCTCCAGGACAGGCAGAATCTTCAGGGCTGATACCAGGAGTCAGGTAAAGCCCCTTTCCTCAGATCCACTGGGGAGTCTACCATGCCTAGTGTCTGTGTCTCCCTCCCAGTGACTGGCACTGGCCCTTGACCCCTGATAAGAGGCTGAGCTAGGCTGTGCCACTGGGATTGAATGGACCAGGTGGAGCTTGGCTAAGCTGGGCTGGGCTAGGCTGGCTATGCCTTCTCTCTCTGGGGTCTTTTTGCTACCCTACCCTTGCATGCCCTGGGCAGCAGGTAGAATGGTCACCCTCTTCTCTTCTTTCTTGGCAGCAAGAATTCCCTTCTGAAGGATGCCATGGCTCCAGGTACCCCCAAGGTAGGTGGTCAATTATGTGTTTTCCTCCTGCCTGTCCTAACCTAGACCCACCCAGAACTGGTTCCTCCTGAAAAAAAGGAGCTCTTCTCGGACTCCCAACTGTCTCCAAGGCTTGAACGTCAGCCTGAGGCCTAGGGCTGGTACGTGTGTGTGTGTGGCCTGTGTGTGAGTGAGCGTGTGCTCATCTGACTTTCTCCTCTTCCAGCCAGAGAAGGGTCATCCATGAACGGCCTGGGGGGTGTGGGCGACCTAGACACTAGACTGGGAAGACTCAAAGGAGAAAGTTGAGCTGTAGCAGGTGAAGAAAACTAAAGAAATGCAGATCGAGACAGACAGTGCAAGGTCTTAGAAGCTAGACCATGGTGTGTGGTGTGTGCGTGCGTGTGTGTGTATGTGTGTGTGTGTGTGTACTTTGTCCTGAGGGCAACAAGGAGCTAGGAAAGATGCTGGGCTCATTTGGGAAGACAATCTGCTCCCCTAAACAAACATGATTGGAGAGAGACTTAGAGACTTAAAAGAATCAGATGAAGAAAGGAAAAGTCAAGAGCAAGTATCTGGCTCCAAGGAGGAGCCAGAGAGGCCTTAGCACAATGACACAATTTGTGCCAAGAACTCCCCAGAAGGGGCCACAGAGGCAGTTAGTACTGCTTGCCCAGAGGTGATGATTTTGAGGGGATGAGATGGGAGGGGGGGACACTAGCCCCTCACTCACTGAGCATCCCCTTCCCCATACCTTGGGGTAAGGCTCCATCCTTTCTTGTAAGTTTCACAATAATCAGAAAGGCAGGAATCTCCAGCCTCTTTTATAGGGAGTGAGGAGTGAGTGCTGAAGCTTTGGGAGTGGATGGAATCGGTGAGGCAGAATGTACAGAGAGATTAGAGCGAAAGCCAAGAAGAGACTGCGGGGAAGTCCTGCACTTAGGGTCAAGATGAGGTACAGCAGGCCAGGAGACACAGGAACAGTCACAGGATGGCATGGTATCTAGGATCCTAAGGGAAAGGTTTCAAAATGCATGTGGTGCCCAGCAGTCAGAAAGGGGAAGGCTGGAGAAGGGCCCATTGTACTTAGAATTCTTAAAGTCACTGGTGACCTCTGAGAGAGCAGTTTTGGGCAAAGGAGCCACAGTGATGAGTATGACCTCCTTGGGGTAGGTCCAAACACCCTGCAGGCCTTTACAAAGTGTGGGAGTGGACTTTGTACCTTCATTCAGAAAATGCATTGACTGCAGCAAACTGGGAAAGGAGGAACAGAGAACCCAGCCCAGCCTTGGGGTGGTGCACGCCACAGAGGCAAAGCTCTCCAGCCCTAAAAAGAAAAGGTGGGGTCTGTAGACTCAGAGGAAGGGAGCCACACTCACTGAGTGTACCCAGCCTGCAGCATTTAATGGTATGGTTAAAGAAGGTTGTGGACAAGCTTTCAGGCTGGCCACCACCACTCATGACATCTGACACCTGAGCATGGCTGGCAGGGCTGGGGACTTGGACAAACCCCCAACAGATGCAGTCCATCTCCATACCTAGCTCTCCACATACAAAGATACACACATAGGAACTCTTAAACATGTAGATTCCTGCAACCACAGACACAGACATATTGATCATAGGACACAGAGATGAGGGACCCTTGCTTACTCACTTTCAGATATATGCTCACACCCCCAAAGCTGAACAGGGCTGGGTCTACCCTCTGCCTTGACCTAGGCTTTAGGGAAGCAGGTCATGGGTAGAAGGGGCTGGAGGTAGAAGTCTCAAGCAAGAGACTGAGAGGACAGGGAGAAGGAGGGAGGGAGGAGGAGGAGGAGGAGGAGAGGACAAGGGGGCCTTAGACAAGATTGATGGCCTCGTTGCCATTAAGAAAAAAATTAGCCGGTGGCGGCTATCATATTAAAGGGTGAAGAAGCCGTGAATTATTTTCTTAAAGATCTTATCGCTTACAATGATAATTTTACCTTCCAAAAGGCCACTTTTAATGAGGCGAAGAGCCAGGCAAAAAGTCATGATTTAATGCTGGGATTTTTTTTTCAAAACACATTTTACTGCTTTTTGGTCCATGTTTAAAAAGCGCCAGTGACCTTTTTTTATTCCGCTTGCCCCAGGTGTAATGCTGAGGCCTCTTAGGGTTTCTAACCTAGAGTGATTGAGAGAGAAAGAGAGAGCACACAGGCATGAGCTTTCTCACGGGGTGGGGAGAACCCGCACCGTTCCCCCTCCTCAGTATCTTCTATGGGACCAGCGAGGGAGCAGGCCATTTCCTGAGAGCACCTCCTTTCTGAGCTGGGGGCTAATTCACCAGCTAGGCCTCCCACTGGGCTTGGGTTGGTGAAGAAGGATCTCCAAGTAGGACCCAGGCCTTTTCCAGTGCCTCTTTCCTCCTCCAGCTCCTGGGACATGCGCACATCAGGGAGCCCTTCCAGACCAGTAGCTGTCCCTTCACTTCCCAGGGCCCTTGCCTGAGGATATGCAGCATGGCCACTGCATGCGGGTCACATCCTAAGGCTCAGTTGGAGATGAAGGATAAATGGCTGCTTCATCTTTCCCAAATTGCTTTCTTTGGGCTGTCACTGACGATTTGGCATGGTTTTCTAGGCTGGGGAGGACTCCTAGGGAATTGTGTGCTTCCGGCTCAGAGCTGTGCAGGCTGGGGCAGGTTGGGGGAGGAAATATGGATTGCTTTCAGGCCTCCCGGCCCCAGTTTGCTGCTGAACAGGCCTTGGCAAGAGCTGGCGCTCAGGCAGAACGTGCCATGTGGTATTTAGAATTGTGGTGCTTACACACAATTTCAAGCAGACAGTTTATTAATCTAAACTGCGGGCATATGTAGAAGAGGCCGTGCAGGATTGACATGGGGGGATTAGTTTTGCTGGGATTTGTGCTGGGGTCATCGCCATAGCACAGGGATAAATGGACCAGCGTACATCCCTAGCTGCTCGTGAGAAACTCATACATATTATTTAATTTACTGTCTCCATAGCAAGGCTGCCATCAGCCTGTATTAGGGGCAGGCAGGGTGGCGG